CTTAGAAAGTTAAAACGTAAGGTATTTGGTCAAAATTGAATTAATCGATGGAACCTTCATTCATTTAATATCCTAGTTCTGTCAAACAATTTGTTCGTTGTAAAAGGACGAGCGAAGTTTTCAGTTCTACAACAAATATACGCATTAAATCCCCTTGTGTCTCGTTGAAGTGTCTCAGCTCATTCGAATTCAGATTTTGTGTGAAGGAAAGACCAGATTTACACACGCCATTGCAGCAAACAAGCAAACTCTTACAACTTCAAAATAGAAAATTTGAATTTACTTGCAATTATTTTCCTCGCCATTTACTTCATGAGCAGCAGTAAATCTTCGCACATGAATTAATCGTCGACGAGAGTGAATAATACTTTCCGTCAGATCATTGACTGTTTTTGGAGAAAACATTGTCGTGACAGTCCTTGCTAAACTAGTTTGGTTGTTTTTCAAAAGTGTACATGCCCTTTTCTTTTTTCTTACGCGCTCTTCAATTAACTTGTGTCAGATTGTAACAGATACTTGTAAAAATGGTTTAAAGTTTTTTAGGAATCCTTTTAAATCACCCTTATCTTATTCATTACGTACATGGAAATGTTTTGATGCAGCATCTCTCTTTAATTTGCATCACCTCTATTTTAACTATCATTTACCCGCTCAAATATTGCTCAATTTATGGAGGATCCTGCTGTAATTACAGCCCTAAATCATTCGGGATGTTTTGGAAGGAATTAAGTTCAGTTTAAGGAAAAAATAAAGATGTTATTCACCAGTCTAAGTCAGTCCGCCCGAGGCCGTGGGCTGGCAAACAACATATATTTATTTGATGCTACTTCAGCAACACCGAAACCAACTTAAACTGATTTGCACCATAAACTCCAGTGTGTCCGCGGACTCATTGTAGTTGTAGAAAACATAGTAATTTCTTTTGTCATCGAGTATGATCATGTTGGAATACATGTAATACATACTACTACTCTTTGTGGAAGCCACAAACAGCCCTAAAATACACAACTGAACAACAGCCATTTTCCTCATCAAAGAGGGGCCTCGCCTTCACTGAGAAACAGCAGCCTTGAATGACCGCGTATTTTCGTAATTTGCCATTTTAGAGCCTTTTTTCTTATTACTTACGTTGTCAATATCTTTCAGCGGTATATTTTGTATTTTTACCTTTGTTTTGGCTTCAAAACAAGCTAAGTGCAAAAACAGTGAGAACAGGATGGGAAACCAAGGAAACCAGTTGTTTATTTCCTTTTTACAGTGAATCTGAATAGATCAGAATTGAATCATGCAAAAGCTGGAAAATTTGGTAACTTGAACAGATAAGCACGGATATCTTAACCACTATTCCGATAAAGAGAAGTGATAAACTGCAAGCGAATGAAGTTAAAGAAGGGTAGAAAATACATAGGTAAAAAAGTGACATCTTAACCAGCTGAAAATTAGCCAGCGATATCTGAGAAACTTCCAAAAAGCAAAATCTATCTAAATTTAGGCAATTGGTCGGTAATTTTGGTAATTAATCAATTACCTTCGCTTTCAACCAATATTTACACAAAGTTTCCCCAATTTGAATACATATGTACTTGACTTAACGTCTAAGTATGTCAGTTGTCAATATATCTGATGACTCTTAAGTTCAGGAAATTTAATCAAGCCACGTCACTGTTTGTTTATCTTGAAAAATGCAGCCACACTTTGAAAGTTTCTCATTTTGCAATCAGTGTCACCGAGTTCTTTCGATGATATGAACCCTGCGTTAATTTCAAAATCGACTTGATTAACTCGGAATTTTTACGAGGGACCAGCGTTTGCTCAGGGCACAGCAAAAGGGCAACTAAATGTCATTTTTGAAAAATAAATTAATTACCCTGCCTTCGAGACCTAGGCAGCATGATTTTTGTTTTCGTTCAGCCGCAACGAACAAACGGTTTCTTCAGTTTTGTAATGTAGCGAAGGCAAAAAAAAAAACTGTTTTGTTACTGCCTTGAATTGTGAGTTTTGATTTGAGGTTACTGTCAACAAGATCTGGTCAAATTTCAAACTTCCATTTTATTTACTCTTTTTTTAGAGAAAACATTGAAATTAAATTTGCTGGGAAAAAAACAAACTTTTAAAACTTTCTTCGATACTTTATAAGCTTTTCAGTGATATACAGTTTTCCAAGTGTTTCTTTGAAAGTAGGGCGCGAAGAACAAAATGTTTTTTTCCAGAATTTTTCCTTGTTTCCTTACATTTCGATGTTTTCTGCGCATTTTTTTGCATATTTATCGTCTACTTGAACTCCCTCGACTAGGCCACACAGTTCATGGTCATCAAGGCAAGCAAAAGAGTTCTAGTTCCTCTTTTTCCTCCTTCTTGTTCCTCACTGGGGAAGGGATGGAAGTCAAACCCTAGATCAAAAATTGGCACATACTTCTCCAATTCCAATATTTATCACTTACACTTGAGATTACTGTGCGGGTATTGGGAAAACTTTGAGTTTGAAATGTTTTCAAATTGCGTCGGCAAACATTAAAAGTGTGACGTCCAAACAAGCTGTGTTTACATACTCTCATCTAAACTAACTAGTTGGCCTATTGAGAGCAAACGAACTATCTCAATTATTTTATAACTATCATTAGTTATAAAAGTGTGACTTGCAAAACCGAATTACAGTCACTTGGTTTTTTTTACTAGTTTTGGCTTCGATCATGCAAATCACACCCGCTAGAAAATGAAAAGTTCACGAAGACAATGAGTTTATTATCACGCAAAGATAGCTTAGCGTTAAAAAGAAGGGACTTAGGTTGTACTGTGATTGATCTTGTGATGAAAATCAAACCTCTCAAAGGGGTAAACACTGAAGCCTGACATTTCCTGTTGGAAAAAGAATAACACTTTTCATTTTCCATGTTCAATTACATCATGACTGATAAAAGTGTGACGTACGAAAACGAAATACTGTGTACTTATTGAGTGGTAGGGGGCGCAGCGAGGTCCTTTCTTCATAACCCTGAGCTTAATATTTTCCCCACTGGTCCCACCAAATTCTGTCAATAAGCATGTTATCATATGACCACTAACTGTTAAAAATTTTTAACCTAAATGGGACGCGATAGACGGGCATACGGGCACACAAAAAAATATGCAATTTAAAACTTTTCCTTTTATTTCGATTAGCCCCGAGGGGAAGGGAATACCCTGAACACACGTGATCTGGATACATTAAACAATGTGACAGCGGAAGTTCGGAAGGTTGGGAAAAGTAATTCGTTATTTTTTGTTTCATTTTGAAAGCATCAGCCACATTGTCAACATCTTGGTAAGTGCGATTGAAAATCTTTTCTAGTCACTCGGTTTTTATCAGCCTTAGTCATTTAGTAACTGTAGAGAGGTAAGGCTCTTATGGCAAAGCCCAGTACCTACTTTATCCCTTTATTATTTACTTTATCCAGTACCTGATCTTTATGTTTGCAATATGTTACGTTTCGAGTGTTAGCCCTTCGTTAAAGCGGTTGATGGCGCGATTGAATCGTCACCACAGTGAAATAAATTGATTCTACGGCGACTTTTTTAAATCTCTGTGGCTTTATACCGTATAATTTATCCTCATTAACTAAAACAAGGTTATTGAGTATCGTTCAATTTGAGAAATTGATGATCATAAAACTAGACTGTCCCACGCTGACATCATAGGAAATCCGTAGTGCTTCATTACGTGGTTTTCCAGAGGCTATGATCTGCACTGGCTATTAACTTGACATTTTTTTAGGAGAGTTAAACGATCGATTCAGAGATCGCGGTAGATTTCAATTGAATTTCCGTTTTCTACTTGTACACAAACGTTTCATGGTCGAGACACCATTCACTTAAATTTTTAGATACTAGCGGCGGGTTCTACGGTACATATTTTTCTAAACGCCGTAATCTGTTTTTTTGTCTGCTTAAGCGCTAGAGCCTCGCATAAGAAGATAAGTCATGACGCTGCGCGCTCACGAAGAGAGATGTTTTAATTTTCTGAGAGAAACTAAGACTTTCTTAAATTCAATGTTACTGCATACGAAGTATAGGCGTACTTTTCCGTTGATCGGATGCTTCATATCTCCACCGTTAAATGGCTTTCTTAAAACAGTTAAGGTTTCATACAATAAATTTCAACCAGAATTTAACTAAGATTGTTCAGCATTGTTTAGTTTAAGAAACTGATGGTTCCCACAATCACGTGATCAAAAACTAAAATCAATCCTATATTAAGACATATTTGTCATGCAGAATGTCCTTTACTGATGTCAACAGAGGCGGCCCAAGCTCACACTCGAGAAAAAGCAAACGATTAATTCATGAAAGCGTCACGCGTTGTGTGACTCGGTGTTAACTTACCAGAGTTGAACACGTCATAAGGAATTGTATGGGGAACGAAAGATGGTCGATTTGAAGTTATAAAAATGTGACGTACAAAACCGAAATAGATTCACTGCGGAGTAAACTACGGATCGGTTTTCCATATCATTTCATGAAAAGTTGATTATCGCTCACAGATAGCTTACCGTTTAAAGAAAGAAGCTTTGGTTCTGTTGGTATCGATCTTGTAATGAGATTTCAATTTTCGAAATGGATGGACACAGAAGCCTGACGTTTCCGGTTAAAAAAAGAATGAAATAATTTATTTTTACATGTTCAATTCTATCATTGGTCACAAAAGTGTGACGTACAAAAGCGAAATTCATCCCCCACCTCTCCCTTCCTCAAAAGAAATATGAAAAACTATTTAGTATGTGATAACAAGTGATGTGGTTATGTTCGAGCAAATTACCGATCCACTCCGTCCGTTTTCTTTTTTTTTTTTTTCTTTTTTTGTTTAGTATTGTGTTAATAAAAATAATGTTTCCCTGATAACAGGAGAGGATTGCAATGCAAACCTGACAGCAGAAGCCATGACACCTTTCATGAGCATCGCCTTACTTGTTGCCCGGTTCTTGTTCAACTCAGATCGCATTCAGAAAGCCATTGAGATATGGCGCGAATGTCTCCAAAAAGCGCTTGTCATCGCAACTGAAATTGGCGACAGAGAAGGGGAAGCATCATGTTATGGAAACCTAGGTACTGTGTTTCTGTTCGTTGGCCAATACGACAAGGCTGAAGATTGTCTCCAAAAAGCGCTTGTCATCAAAACTAAAATTGGCGACAGAGGAGGGGAGGCAGCTAACTATGGAAACCTAGGTAGTGTGTTTCTGTCCGTTGGCCAATACGACAAGGCTGAAAAGTATCTCCAAGAAGCGCTTGTCATCCAAACTGAAATTGGCGACAGAAAAGGGGAGGCAACTAGCTATGGAAACCTAGGTAGTGTGTTTCTGTCCGTTGGCCAATACGACAAGGCTGAAGAGTATCTCCAAAAAGCGCTTGTCATCAAAACTGAAATTGGCGACAGAGGAGGGGAGGCAGCTAGCTATGGAAACCTAGGTAGTGTGTTTCTGTCCGTTGGCCAATACGACAAGGCTGAAAAGTATTTCCAGAAAGCGCTTGTCATCAAAACTGAAATTGGCGACAGAGGAGGGGAAGCATCATGTTATGGAAACCTAGGTATTGTGTTTAGGTCGCTTGGCCAATACGACAAGGCTGAAGAGTATCTCCAAAAAGCGCTTGTCATCCAAACTAAAACTGGCGACAGAGGAGGGGAGGCAGCTAACTATGGAAACCTAGGTAGTGTGTTTCTGTCCGTTGGCCAATACGACAAGGCTGAAGAGTATCTCCAAAAAGCGCTTGTCATCAAAACTGAAATTGGCGACAGAGGAGGGGAAGCATCATGTTATGGAAACCTAGGTATTGTGTTTAGGTCGCTTGGCCAATACGACAAGGCAGAAGAGTATCTCCAAAATGCGCTTGTCATCCAAACTGAAATTGGCGACAGAGAAGGGGAAGCATCATGTTATGGAAACCTAGGTATTGTGTTTATGTCGCTTGGCCAATATGACAAGGCTGAAGAGTATCTCCAAAAATCGCTTGTCATCAAAACTGAAATTGGCGACAGAGAAGGGGAGGCAGCTAACTATGGAAACCTAGGTAGTGTGTTTCTGTCCGTTGGCCAATACGACAAGGCTGAAGAGTATCTCCAAAAAGCGCTTGTCATCCAAACTGAAATTGGCGACAGAGAAGGGGAGGCAGCTAACTATGGAAACCTAGGTAGTGTGTTTCTGTCCGTTGGCCAATATGACAAGGCTGAAGAGTATCTCCAAAAAGCGCTTGTCATCACAACTGAAATTGGCGACAGAGAAGGGGAGGCAGCTAACTATGGAAACCTAGGTAGTGTGTTTCTGTACGTTGGCCAATACGACAAGGCTGAAGTGTATCTCCAAAAAGCGCTTGTCATCACAACTGAAATTGGCGACAGACAAAAGGAAGCATCATGTTATGGAAGCCTAGGTACTGTGTTTAAGTTGCTTGGCCAATACGACAAGGCTGAAGAGTATCTCCAAAAAGCGCTTGTCATCAAAACTAAAATTGGCGACAGAGAAGGGGAGGCAGCTGACTATGGAAACCTAGGTAGTGTGTTTCTGTCCGTTGGCCAATACGACAAGGCTGAAGAGTATCTCCAAAAAGCGCTTGTCATCAAAACTGAAATTGGCGACAGAGAAGGGGCAGCATCATGTCATGGAAAACTTGGTACTCTGTTTAGAACTGTTGGTGATTTTGAAGCTTCGGAAGTATGCTTGGAGAAAGCCTTATTAATATCCAGAGATATTGGAGATGGAAGAAAAGAGTTCGAAATCCTCGGAAGTTACGCCGTTTTGTATTTGTGCCAATATAAAATCAAAGACTCCCTGTCGTGTCTTCATCTGTGCATTGAAAAGTATGAGGAGCTGAGATATTTCTTGGGCGCCAATGATCAGTTCAAAACATCATTACTGGAGGACACAGGAATATTTCCTTACAAACTGCTTTGTACTTTGCTTTGTGCCACCGGAAATGCTCGGGATGCTATTTATGTTGAGGAGTTGGGTCGAGCTAGAGGCCTATCAGACTTAATGGCAGAGAAGTACTCGGTTGAAACGCACATCTCTGCTAATCCACAATCTTGGTTTGGCATTGAGAACATTTTAAGAAAGCAAAAAAACTGTACTTGTCTGTACATTTCTTATTTTCAGAATAGTCTGCATTTGTGGATCTTGAAAACAAGTGGAGTCCTTCACTATAGAAGAGTATCACCAGAAGAGAATGTAGTTCAGGCTGGGTTACCCAAAGATTTGCCTTTGAGTCAATTTTTGGATGATAATTTCCGGAGTCTTGGTATTTTTAAGATCGGTCTTTAAATACGATTAAATTGCAACCTCTCTCCCCCGCGCAAAAGAGCTCAGCAAGATTACGACTCGTGGAGGAGGACGGTGACGAGGACGAGGACGAGAAAGTGATTTCAAGTCTACATTTATGTTACAAAATGTTCATTGCCCCCGTTTATGATTTACTTGATGAGCCTGAAGTCATTATTGTTCCTGACCGCAGGTTGTACAAAGTTCCCTTTGCTGCCCTGAGTGAAAAGGAAGGAGCCGAATACTTGTCAGAGACCCATAAGATCCGTATCATTCCTTCGTTGACAACACTCAAGAACATTCAAGATAGTCCAGAGGACTATCACAGCAACACTGGTGCCCTGGTAATAGGCAATCCCAAGGTTAATTGGCTGGAGCCATTGCCAGCTGCAAGAAAGGAAGCGGAGATGGTCGGACGACTGGTGGGTGTTCCGCCTCTAGTTGAAGAGAAAGCAACGAAGCAGGCAGTACTTGAGCGGATAAGTTCCGTGAGCTTGATACATTTTGCTGCCCATGGTAACGCGGAAAGAGGAGAAATTGCACTCTCCCCCATTCCTACTCCCAACAATCAAAACGCTATCCCGAAGGAAGCTTACATGTTGACGATGGCTGATGTCTCACGAGTGAAAGTCAGAGCTAAACTGGTGGTACTTAGCTGCTGTCACAGTGGAAGTGGAGAGATAAGAGCCGAGGGAGTTATAGGAATTGCTGGTTTTCAGTGTCACGCCATTCAAAATAGATCAAAATAAAAAATAAAAAACCGTTCAATCGATTTAGTCTAGAATCTGGAAATAGAAAGAAGCTAGATATGTAAAGACTCTCGCCAAGATTCAGGTCACAGCAATTTTTCTTACGGAAGATATGAGGAGAAACGTTTTTCCCAAATTTATAGAGATTTGTATGGAGCCGCCATGCTGGTGCCCACCTAGATGGGCACCAACATGGCGGCCGGAAACCAGCAGAAACATCTGTCACTGAGTTTTGCTACAAAAGCGTGAATTTATCTCTCTAAGAACTCATAAACGTAACAATAATACTTTATTCTAATACAAGAACTGTTCAGATAGCTGAATTTCCCTAAATAAGTCACCTTTTAAACCAACATAACAGCTCTCTCGCTCGTCATGTAAAGGCCACGTCACGCAAAAGCTTAGAAATTCAAGAGTAGTCTATCACTAAACCAAGAACCCATTTGGAGTGAAAATTTGTCTGAATATTAGTTTTTAGCTGCTCTAATACATCATCAAAGTAAAATCTCAGGAGGATCAATAATTCTGAAGTCTGAAATTTAGTGACGTCACGTGAAAACCAGCAATTGCCCGTGCGTTCTTAGGATCCGGTGCTCGCTCGGTGTTGGTTGCGCTGTGGGCCATTCCAGACTCTGCAACAGGGAAGCTGATGAGTCGGTTTTACGAACACCTTGTTGAAGGAGAAAGTGCCAGTGAGTCTCTTCACCAGACTATGAAGTGGATGAGAAAAAATGGTTTTATCCAAGTGTCTCAATGGGCTTCATTCACGCTGATTGGAGATGACGTGAGATTAGAGTTTGGCGCGCCAGGTGAGACTCAGCTCAAAAAGATATTTCACTAATTAATTTAATATTAGGTGTGAAGGTGGCTATGGTTTAGCAGTCGCTGACCGTCGGCGGGGATCCTTTGTTACCTTGAACATCACGGCTAGTTCAACATATATCCATATATATATATATATATATTTTTTTTTCTTTCTTTTTTGGTCTTTTCGGAGAGTTACTTTAGACGCTCTCTGGTGTAAATATAAAATTTCGAAAGGCCTCTGCCAATCACATACAAATGTTAGCCAGTTATATTTTTACATATTGAGCTTGGTATAATTGTATTAGCAATCAACAATTTTAATTGAGTTTGAAACAAATTGTTGTTTTTTTTACTTTTTTACAGAAAAAGAGACCCCGACAGAATAAATAATGGGAATCACTCAAAGGAAACAGAGCTAAAAGACTTTTAGATGCATAAATTGTATAGAAACATGTGGAGAAGATACTCTGACGGTATTTCATTGACATTTAAAAAAAGTGCTCTCATAAATTAGAGGAGATCTAGTTCAATGTTCAATATTCTTTTTCAATATTCTAAGAAGAATGCATTGGTTACGTACTCAATTATTTTTTGTTCTTTAACGCAAAAATTTTATTAGAAATAATAGAGAAAATACTCTATCCGGTACTTCATCGACATTAAAAAAAAGAGCTCTCCCAGGTTAGGGGAGAGTTATTCCAATTTCTGGTGCTTTCTTTACTAATATTCTCAGGAGGAGGTAATGGTTATGTACTCAACAATTTTTTGTTTTTCACGCAAAAATTATATTCTGATATAATAAGTACGAAACAATGTTGACCTACGTAAGCCTTTTGAGTAAAACGAATTCAGTAAAGTTAAGACATTAAGCGTTGCGCATCCTAAAAATAAATCCGAAGCACTCCACATTAGAAAAAAATCCTACAGAGCTTAAAAATACGACTAAAAGAGGGGAAAGAGGATACCTGACGAAGTTCTGGAGAAATACGTGTCTGAAGTTATCTGCTCCAATAGAGAAGTATCACTTCCGGCTTTACAAAAGCTCAATAACACGCTGATGTGGAAATGTCACATTCAAAATCACATGGCCATAAATCATTATAATAAAGTTCGGATATAACGCGCGCTGTCATTGGTTGAAAGAGCGTGCTCTATGAGAGTATAGAGCATAGAACTGAGCTAAAGCTGTCACGCCATCTGCCAAATTGTACTATGTTCGACCTTTTCCGGGACTTCTTTTTAGCTTTTTTCCGATAATTTAAAGTGAAATTTCGGAACAAGCGAGCCGGCAAGTAGTAACAAAAGAACCAAAGAAAGGTTTGTAAACATACCAGGCGCCGTTATTTACGTTATTAAAACGTGGGCAGATACGAAAATCCTCAAAGGAAAAACAAAATAGACATTCCAAGTTTTAAAGATTTTCACGCTCAGTTAGATTGCAAGCTTACGTACGGTAATGAAAATCAAACACAGCCAACACTCGTATAGTATATAAAGTTCAGAGTTCAAAAACAAAACAGAACAAAACAGAAATGATGAAAAATATAACCAAACTGGCATAACTGTTAAAATTCATACTAATCATGACGGTGTCTGAGCAAATATGATCAAACTGAAGTCCATCGCAGCTCACTTATCATGGCGATCTCCGGTCATCACAGTAAAGCAAGCCTCAGAAACTACATCGGCCGCCCTTCGAGTGAAAAAATAAGAGCTCGCTCTGATATCCTATCCGATGTGCTATGGACCCTGCGTGAAACAGCGAAATATGGAAGTAATCCTGTCTTGGAATATAGAGTTCATCTGTTGTAGAATAAGTTAATTCGTAACACCCTGTAATAACAGCAAAACTAGTCGCTGGTTCCCTTTCATCAAGAGCGTTACTATTTGTAACTAGTTTTTGGCAGTTACGTCCTTAACGTTCTAGTAGAAATACATAACTCTATACGTTCCAGTGGGTACTAAAGTATGTTTTTAGTTCAAAACATGCGCATCGCCAATGCATATTAACTGAAGTCTTTTAGAAGGTTTTTGAGCAACTTTAACGTTGTGGTTGAAATCCGTGTAATCAGTATTCCCAACAACAGGCGACAAAATTCTCGCAAGATAACCAGAAATTGCATAAGTCGGAGAATTAACAAAAGGACAATAAATCTCAAAGGAATTCCCGGTTTATGAATTTTAGGTAAGCCATAAAAACGTGGACAAAAGCCGTCACTACTGTATAATATTTTGTACGGAGAGTCACTAATTTTACCAGCTTTTTCAAATCAAGCAACATTTTGTTTAACTTTCTTTGAGTCTTTCTGGTAGGATCAGAGTTTAAGACAGCATACGTACTCTTGTCATTAAGCAGAGACAAAGCTTTGTCGTGATATTGCTGTTTGTCCATAACCACAACACAATTACCCTTGTCAGCAGATAATACGAGCCTGTCCGGGTCCTTTTTGAGAGCTATAAGCGCATTGAAAACATCCATTTGAATGTTTTTGGGAGGAGGTTTAGATCGTGACGATGGCGGTTTGCTTCCTGACGCCTTTTACACCTCGTCAGAGAAAAAAAAAAAGGCCGCTAATTAGTGATCATATAAAAGGACCTCTAGTTACAGCGTCTTGATCACCCCTGATGAAGGCACTAGACAGGAGTGTCGAAAGGTTGGGTCTATGAATTGTATCTTCTTCGGTTACATTCATTAAATCTGCAAACCAGAGTAGCATCAATTCAAACTATGTCTGATGGTCCACCTGGTTGCCGTGTGAACTTTCATGTATTAGATAAGAAGGCATTTGCTTACCTTGGCTCCTTTGATCACTGAACCAGTCGGCCTGCAGTTGATGAAGTTCGGGATCTTTTGGTCGGTAACGGTCCATGGAAGCGCGCTTGGCTGTCATCTTCAGATCGCCGAACCATTGATTCGAAGCCATTGATTCGAAAATTCCGTATTCCCTCGCTATCTCTCGATTGTTGTTAACAGCTTCAGCTTCAATTACGATTTTCAACCTGAAGTTGAGATCATTAGAATGACGGCGAGTGTTTGGCATGATTGTGCTGAATGTAGACTTCGCAAGATGATGTTCACCAGGTGAAGTAAATTTGCGACTACTGATTTTGTTGATCGAATTGTTTTTATACTTTAAAACCATGTTTCCCGAGAGGGAAGGCTAAAAATTACTATGTACCGATAGGTTGTATTTAAATGTGTGACTTTTTTTTGCCTTTTATTTATCCCATGTGACTAACTGTGTGACATTTTTCGGCTTTTGTAAATGTGTGTGACATTTTGCTTTTGTTTAATCAAGGCTTTTGTTTGTGCGCGTGGTCGCGTGTGCGACAATTCTGCTTTTGTTAATTAACGGTAAACTAAAATCAATACGCGACTTTTTCGCTTTTTTGTAAGTTTATGAAAGAATTTACAATAAACTTGACCGATCTTTACTCCCCAAACAACGATGCGCCTTATAACCAAGTATTTTAGCGATATTTTCAGTTTGAAAACACGCAATAATGAAGCTGCCGAATTGGGGGTGCGTCTTATAGCCGAGTGCGCCTCATAACCGAATAACTACGGTAGTATGGAGGTAATTACCAGCACTGATCTGGTTCTTACTTGTTCTGCACTTTTCCATGCAGACCGTTTCCTGTGAAACGATCATAATCCATGTATTTTTGTTTTGAAAGGCACCAAATTTAAAACTAAAAAGTTTAGTCCAATTGCAATGTAATGAATCACTTGCTAACTTTTCTTGCTCAAATTCTACTGAGGAATATTGGCCATCCGCTGTTTTTGTAAGGAACTCAGGAAAATGTTCTCTTGTATGGCCCTCAGGCTTGGTAAGAAATTATCATTTGCAGTTATGGCTGAATTTATCTGCTGCAAATTTACATTTATAAAATGAATGAGAGACAGTTGATTTCATTTTGATTCATATTTTATATTTTTAATAAGGTTGACGTGGTGGGCATGGTCATGGTCATGGCATGGTATTTCTTTGATAGAAAAAAAAAAAATTAAAAGTTGAGGTAAGACAATGCACTTGCACGGAGATGTTACCCAACTGACAACTATACTCACAAGATCTAAATAAATTACCCTTTTGCCCTAAAATCCCTATTTGTATTATCATAGATTTTTATCTTTCAATGCCTGCTTATGGCAGCTTTTGTTGGATTGGAAATAAAACAGTCTTTGTATATGTGTATGAACTGGAAACTGTTGCAATGGACCTTCAAAGGGTTTTTTATTTGATATATATTAAATTTTAATTTCTTTGTCAACAGTCAAAAATAATCATATAGTATCACCTTTTTTTTTCCTTCTCACCTTTAAATCTTTGAAAAATTATTTAATCTTCTATTTGAGAATTGTTAAGAAATGGAATTTATTTTAATACAAATAGGGATTTACACTGTTTAGTAGTATCATTTGTGGCTCTAATGAAACAAACAATGTATTTTCACAGTTGTTAGCTTCCAATCTTTGTTGGAAGGTTAGAAAAAAACTTAGTATGTATGAAATGGAAGCATCATACCATGGAAAATGCTTGAACAATTTTTATCCACTTTTCGCGTTGATCAAAAAAATTCACTAGTTCACTAGGCTCACATGTTAATTTTTGTTTGATGCAATAAATCTCACTTGTGCACACTTTCCATGAAAAAATCCCTATTTGTTACAAATTGAAAAATATTTCTTGGACCCCATACTGTTTCTAAAATTTAATTTCTTTTCGCATGAGCATGGTAAATTAAAGATTTTCTGAATACTGTGGAAAATGGCATCTAAAACAAATGTTAGCCTAGTTTATTGTAATGTCAGTTGTTGTTAGGTTACTATTTACTTTACTTCACCATTCCACTTCTTTCACACCTTCTCTTTACTATTATTTTTCTTGTCCACATCTATTTTATGAAAAAACAATAATTGGCTTGAACAAATTTATTAAAAATACTGCATAAGTTCTATAACTGTATTAGAAAAGGTCTCTTTGAAGTGACAATACTGAACCAAGTCATACTCACATTGCAAAATTATGA